TAGAGAGGGGGAGGGAGGAGTTGGGGTGGGAGAGAATTAGGGGGTCGATTTTGCTATATATTTTTTGTTAGAGAAGGTCGGTTTTGCTTGTTAAAATTGTGAAATAGTTGCTTTTAAATTTTTGTCCTTAAATAAATAACAACTTTTATGAGCCAACACCTTCACTATTCCAAAAAAAAAAATGATTTCTATAATTATAGCTCCTAGTGTCCCATATCTAATCTAATTGAAGAAATTTTTAAAATGAACTCATTACCAATTTATTCCTAAAAATCGACTCATTTTCTCGTCACGTCAGCCTCGTGGCCAAAAAGTGGGTCGATTTAAAGAAAATCACGATCCTAATTAGTTAGGGTTGCCAACCCCGGCTAATTAGGAGCTACCCTGCTACATTATTGTAATTTGATAGTTAAACAAGTCGAGGTTCGAAACCCTGACTAATTTAGCGTGTGCAAAAATGGTCCGGGTTGGGAACCCTGACTATTTCAAAACACCTAATTTGAAATGGTTGGGGTTCTCAACCCCGACCATTTGGCAGAGTGTGACCCAACCTGAAATTGGGGAAGTGGCTAAGTGACACAATAGTCGGGGTTGCCAACCCCGACTACTTGTGTTAGGTCCCACCTATATATACTGATCGAAACTTCACCCCAAAAAAATCGATCTTTTTCTTCCCCAGCTCCGGTCTCTCTCTTGTTTAGCCACCAACCCATCTCCCCCAACCCCATTTTATGGCTGAAATTCATCGTTAAAGTTTGCTTAATATCTCTAGGGTAATTTTCCTTCCATCTCTTCTCTTTTAACATGTAAAAATCTAGGGTTTCTCTCAAAAATGAATTTTTAGGGTTTGAAATTTATTACCAACCACTCTATTTGTGGTAGTTCGAATGCTTTGTGTGTTGATTGTTGTAAGTGAAATTAAACTTCTAGGGCATAGAATGCTCAATTCTAGGGTTTAAAATTTTCAATTTGGGTTTTAGGGCTTTTGGTCAAAATTATATGAGATTATTTGCATCTTGGATTTTCCTCTCTTATTCGATGCCCTGATAATATTATTTTAAATTTTTTACATTTAAATGATATAATCTTCTTTTGCATAAGTTGAACAATAAGATTTTTATTGCTTGCACTTATGGTGGGAAATTCAATTATGGAATGAATAATATGCCAATGTACGTTAGAGGGGTAATGAGGCCGTTAATAATCTCGAAATCATATAGTTATTATGACTTGGTTAAAGAATTACACCGAGTTACGAAAATTGACCCACGAGAATACCGACTAAAAATAATATGCAATTAGCCCATAACTTTTTATAGAACGTCCGCATTTAAGATCTCAAACGATCATCATATGAGTATTATGTTTAATTTGAGCAAGTAGCAACCAACAGTAAAATTGTTTATTGAAAAGTTGTCATATAGTTCGTGCCAAATATTCAAACCTCCAGGAGAGTTCTCACACATGTTAGATTTAGGAGTCGAGTCTGATGGGTTTCTTTCTTCTTTGAGTGAAATGAAGCGGACTCAATTTTAATATTCAAGTGCACCTTCATTCGAGGGAACGTCAAATGTCATGAACAATAAAGTCCCTTATGAAAATATGAGACCGTTAAGAAGGTCAACAATTGAAGAAGATGAAAGAAGCAATGACTCTGAAGGTGAAGAGGAAGATAGTGCACCAATTGATAGCATGCAATTTGTGACTGAAGATGTTAAAGAGAATCCGGATTAGCCTGATAAGGCTTATGTTAATAATGAATATGTTGAGTACGAAGAACCACCCCCGACAAGTTTGAAGATGATGAGTGGATTCGTTCTTCCACAGTACAAGATATGTGCATTGGCCAAAGTTCAACTCATAAAAGAGATGATGAAGTCACTTTCAAAGTTGGTGATTTATTCTAGGCTAAGGACCAATTGGTTGATGTTATTCGTGATTACTCAATCAAAAAGAACATCAAATTCAAGTGTAGGCATCAAAAATTTCTTATAAGTCCTAAACATAGCTCAACACGAAGAGAATATGAAGAACGTCATCATCTAAGTCAGGAAAGATCATCCGATGCTAAGGAGAAGTGAAGAAGCGCACGAAACGACGAAACAACAATACTCAAAGTTGTCTCACAATCAGTGAGACAACAATAGCTGTCTCGAATTCCGAGACACCAAATGGTGCCTCAGATTCCGAGATAGGTTGAGGTGTCTTGTAAATAGTGAGACCCCTTGACGCATTTTTCGATGGCTTTCTTGAATTTTGTGTAATCCACGTGGCTCCATAACTGCTTGGGAACATTCATAAACACGGAGAGGCCATTATAAACTAAAAATCCATCCAAATCACAACTGGTTTCAAATTCTTTTCTTCAATAACAATTTCCAAGGACTATAAATACCCCTTGGCACCTATATGCAAGGGGACAAAAAATATTAACGAGTATTGAGGTTTTCGGGCAGATCTGAGAGCAAGTACCCACGAATTTTAGAGAGAGAGACGGTGATTTTGGCGCTTTGATCATAAAGAGAGAGAGTTCTTCGTCATCTTTTGACAGATCTCAATGGCCTTTGGCGTTCCCCTGATCTCAAACATCAATTTGATATCGGGAAGAGTGTTTATCTTACCTCGCTGAGATATCTACTTCTGTTCTTATTTCTAAAATGAAACATTAACACAAAGCCTTCTTCACGATCAACCCAGATCGTTGAATCGATGGTCCACGGATCAAAGTATCACCGGTACAACCATGAAGAAGGCTTTCTGTACGTCTTTTATCACCTCAAATGTTGCGAAGGAAGATTTGATTGGCATATTAAGTGATGCCTCAGCATACAATGTATGCCATGGATCTGTACCTGCATCTGTATCAGTCCATGTCTTCTCACATTTAGAGGATACATCAAACAAGTAAGCCAAATTAAAATTTTTATTAATGTACCACCCACCCTCACTGAATAGATTATTATTATGGAGCTCTTTCTGGCTCATTACATTCAGATCTAACTCCCATAAACACTCTTCCTCGGGCCCAGGCTCGGTGTCTGCTTCGTTACTGTTATCAGGATCTTCCTTCGACTGTTCTAGTTCTTGGGAGTCCGGATAGAAAACTGAGTCAGTGATAGTTTTCCACACCTCTGAATGGTTTTCTCTTGGCTACCAAAGTTTTAACCTTTCCTTCATCATTGACATATTTCATTTCTTGATGAAGGGTAAACGAGACAATGCTATTCGCGTGAATCCAATGTCGTCCTAATAACAGATTGTAGGATGTGTACGCATCTATAATATAGCAGGTCACTTTTGACTTAAGATCTCCAATCTGGCACTTGAGTTTGATCTTTCCCAAGGGTCGCGTGCTGTTGGCATTGAAACCGAAGATAGTAGTTTGAGTGGAGTTCAGCCGATGTAGGGGATTCCCTAAGAATTGCATAACCCTGTATGCTAATGCTGAGCGCGTAGCCTAGGTCTACTTAGACACGACTGATCTCAGAAGACTCGATATACCCAGTATAATACAGAGGTCTATCATTCTTATGCTTGATTTGCATATCTTCTTGTGTAAATGATATGCAAAGCAGACTTTGTGCAGCTTGTAAGCATTGTGCACAAGAAGATCCCTCTGTAGCTGCTGGGACTATAAGAACTTGTGTGATAAAGCTCTCTGTATCCGTTAAAGCTTCAATCAGAGCTCTTCTTGTGGATTTGGACAACCTCAGGAACTCATAAAGGGTAATCCTAGTGGGGATATTGGCTAATTGTGCCAGGACATTGAAACAAAAGGGAGCATTAGACCCTTCAACTTCTTGTTAGAGGAGATTCTTGTTATAGCGGATCTCCTTATGCTTCCCTTTATCGGCTGACTTCTTAGGAAGAGCAACCCTAATTTCTTCAGCCGGCTTATATGTTTCTTAGGTAGCCTGATTGTACTTTTTCAATTACGTCTTTCTTGACCTGGTGCCAGGGTTAGCTTCTTGCTCGGCTACAAGAGCATTCTTCTCTTCCTCCGAGTCGGTAAGAGGGACGAGATGAGTGTCATCTTCATTCAGAGAATGGCTAATCACATTTGAAGACTTAGCCTTATTTTTCTTCTTCTTCCCCGACACACTTGTCCAATGCTGGTCACTAATCAAATCGGAATGGACCCACATTATTTCTACTTTTGGAGTAGCCAAGGGTACCAATCCTTTGTCTTTCTGTCCATGCAGGCCAGTGTTTTTTATGTGTAGTTTTCCCTTAGGGATAGGGACGACACCATTGGGAGTTGTAACAGGTGGGAAATCTCTGAATTGGACCAATATCATGTTGGTGGATATTGTCTTCTATTCTAGCTTTAATTTAAGCACTTCGGCATCAATCAAAGCATGTAGGATATCCTTAAAGATATATCATCTCTTGGTTGGATGCCCCAACGTTTTGTAGTAGAGGCAGTAGTTAGGGTCATCTACTTTTCCTGTCTCTTCGGGGTTCTTAACTTCAGGAAGCTTCGCCTTGTTGTTCTTCTGAAGTAGCTTAAAGAGGGTGATCACATGATCCTCTTTGAAGGGGTATTGCTTGGGCACTCTTGATTGACCCGATGACTTGCCCTGTTTAGCAAGTGGCGCTCGAGTATTAGCCTCCGTAGCTATGGTGTCTTTCCCCTTCGCTCGGGAAGCATTGGCTTGGCCACATTGCACCTGTTGCTTTTGGTTGCCTTGCTCTTTAGCTCTGATCCTGGTGAAAATTTCTTAGGCCTGTTCACCTTGGGAGACTAATTGTTTCTAGGAACAACAACTGTCACTCCCATTTAGGCTAGGAGGTTGGTCTGCAGGTTGTGTCTATAGGTTTCCATAAGAGTAGACTGTGTTTTACCTGCTGGACATCGTAGAGCCATGCTTCGAAATCTTTCGACGAAGACTTTGATTGGTTCTCCTTTCTTCTGCTTAGTGGAGAGAAGATAAGGGACAAAGACTTCCGTATCATCTTCAAAGAATCTTGACAGGAAGAGTCTCTCTAGATCTGCCCACTTATGGATAAATCATGCAGGCAGTTTCATGAACTATTCAAAGGCGACCCCTTTTAGGGTGCCAATGAACAACCGAGTTAGTACAACGTCATTTTCTATTACATTTCTAGTTTGTGACTTAAAGTAATAGATATATCGATTCGGTGATCCCGTACCGTCGAAAGATTGCAGAGTCAGGACTTTGAATTTCAGAGGATAATGGACTGTCTCCCAATCGGCTAGATAGGGCCTAACAACTCTCTCATCTTGGAGCTCGCTTCTATTGGCAATGACATTGATACAGGCTTCCAATTCTTTCATCTCAGCTGATTGAGGATTTTGCTCATCCTTGGCCTCTTTCTCTTCTTCAGAGAAAAATTCTATGCGGTAAGCTTCTTGATCAGACGTCTCAATCACCTTTTCCTTCCCCCTCGATGAAGATGATCCTTCTCTTCGGGAAGATTCCTGTCGAGGTGGTGAGTTTGCTCTATGGGATTTAGCCTCGTCCGCAACAATTTGGGCCATCAAGATTCAAAGTTCATTGATAGTCTCTTGCTGTGATCCGAGCATGGCTTGTTGCTCATCAAGTCTCTTTGCCAGATCTTTACAATTTCCCGCCATATAGGCGGAGCTCTCATGTTCTTCAAAAGAGCTAGAGGATTGTGATTCTGCGATAGCTAAATGTTCATCGTCGTACTCAATTCATTTAGCCAACTTTTGATAGTCGATGGGGGGTATGACCCCTTTCTTAGTCTGAGTGTGTTGATAGATTCCTTCAAACCCGCTCAAGATCTCTTTGAAGCAAGGAGGTCGGTTTGTTTCTGATTCGTCAGAGCCTGAGATTCATGATTTCCATCTGCCGATCATATTGATAGTAACTCCAGAATATTCATCTTCCGGAGTTCTTTTTTACGGAAACGCCGCCGCTTATTGGGCAGGACAACGTTCATCAATCGGTTGAATATCGATTGTCTTGGTGTAGAAGCACAACATTGACATCCCGAGAGGGCTACAGAAATAAGTCTCTCATATTGTCAGATGGGAGTGACTTGTTGCACCGGTCTTTCTCTCGATATGAACTCTCTCAAATCCTTCGCAGGGACTCGAGTGGAGTTACTCACTGAATGCGAGTTTTGATTTGGAACCCCTTGCCTATGATTGGACGGGACTGACTCCTGGTGAACATAGATCGTAAATCCATGTTGGTTCTTTTGAACTTTTGTATTAGAAACATGAGGGCCATGTTTAGACACTAAAATGCAAGGGCCGCGTTAAGGAGAAGAAATGTGAGGATCACATTTGGCATTTGGAGCGCGAGGGTTGCGTTTTGGTTGAGCAACGCGGTCCTAAGATTCGCATTTTGGCTGTGAAACGCGTCATTGAAGGTCGCGTTCATCCTGGCTTTTGCGAGGCTTGTTCTTGGGCACGTAAACACGAGGCTCGCATTCCAAAGTAGAAACGCGGAGCTCAGGATCGCGTTGAAGACCACAAACGCGAAGCTCACGTTGGTTGATTGATCGGCTTTCTCGGAGCTGTGCTCGTCGTATGGATCTTCTTCTTCATCGAGTAGCATTCTTTCTCGCCTGTTTTAAGGCTTTTGCAGCAACGTCACTATCTGTATTGATCAAGTTAGCCATCGCAATGGGCCTCTTGTGATCTGATATACCTTTTTGTTTAGGCACGAGTGTAGAGCCTTTAACTGGGTTAATGAGTTCAGTTGGATTAAGGCATTCTTCTTCAGAGAAGGGACTGCCTGAATAGTCTAATCCAAGGGAAAGACGCTCCTTTAGCGAGTTGGTCATGGGTGGAGCCTTAGTCTTGTAGGATCTGACTTAAAAGAGTAGAATCTACAAGCATATGCTGAACACTAGAGAGCATTTATTAGAGTTATTTAATAAGTTTGCAAAGTAGATTATAAATTGCAATAACAATGAACAACAATCTCAGAAAATGAACATCACAAACACAAGGATATATACTGGTTCCACCTCCCCGGTGTACATCCAGTCTCCAAGCAAATCCCGCTTGATATTTTCACTATGATTTTAAACCAAGTACAAAATCAAAATCAAACCTGACCAATTTGCAAGACCATGCAAATTGCAACAATCTCACTAAGAGATCAACTCTCTCAAACCCGAGAGAAACCTTCTTTGAATCAAAGTACAAAATTCCTATAAGCCTTGATACGATAGTGAAGTGCAACAGTGGCTTAGGAACCTTTTAAACTCTCTGAAATTTGCCTAATCAACTTATATGAATGATGGGAACAAAAATCAATATCAGAATTTCAACTCTTGACCATTTGGATGAGAATTTTTATCAAGAGAGAATTAATTTTCACAAAATTCGAATCTTATAAGTACTAATATTGGTTGAAGTTTTCAGCTTTTGAAAAACTTGAATTTTAAACCCAATAAACGGATAAAAATAACTACAAGGCTTAGTAGTCGAGTACACTGAGTCTAAACAGACTCTGTGAAGTCAGAAAAATGCTTAGTAGTCGACTACTTTTGTCATTAGTCGACTATACTGTAAAGACAGAAAGTCTGGAATTCTGAACTGACTCTTAGTAGTCGACTATAAAGCCTAGTAGTCGACTACACTATAATTTTACAGAAACTAGAATTCTATCTAAGTCTTTAATAGTCGACTACAATGCGTATTAGTCGACTACACTGTAGTTTTACAAAAACTGATATTTTGACCAAGGCTTTAGTAGTCGACTACTATTTTTATTGGTTGACTACTAAAGGGTATAAATGAGATATATGATGTATTTTAAGACTTATTCTTTAACTATAAACTCTAATGGTTAACATAAGTGATTTCTATAGTTAACCACACACTAAGCATGTGTTAGTGTGTTCTAATATTATGTGTGTGTATGTGTGTGAGTGATCAAGACTTGTACATAAATTCTAAGCAAAGAAAATATAAAAATACAAATTTACTAAGCACATCTTCTTCTTTGATTGTGTTGTTACCTTGAACTCATCTTATGTCTTGAGTATCTCTTTGAATATCATTGTTGAATTTGCTCTGATACTGCAAAACATACGTTAACACATAATACACACAACATATAATATTTGTTATTACAAAACAAACATATCTTGGGGTCAAGATATCTAACTGCAAAATGAATATCTTTCTTGCCGTGATGCTTTTAATACCCTAGTAACGCGGGAGATACTTCTAATACCAATCCGATTATTGGGTGTCACTTTTAATGCCAATACGGTAATTTAGCCCTTAAAGCGCAGTTATCATAATCCGGTTCGGTAGAAGCTTACACGGGTCGGGTCACGTGTAACCCGATCTAACCCGTTTCCCGCGGATGCCGACTTGTCATCGAATCCCTCGCCAAAATAATTGTCCATCTCTTAACCACGAAGGCTTCCACCCTCGCTCTCTTTAAATAAAGCCCATCAACGTCAAAACCGAAAACAATGAAATCTCCATCCAAAATTCCCATCTTTTTCGCTTTACTGCAGATATTTTCGACACTCGCGATCTCGTCGAAATCCTCGCCGTCCTCTCTAATGGCTGAAGGCGCGGGAAAATCCACCGCCGGAGACGGCGAGTCGGCCTCCGTGCACATCGTCTACGTGGATCGCCCTGAAAGCGAGGATCCCGAGGCGTTTCACATCCGAACCCTAGCTCCGATCGTCGGCAGGTGATTCGATCGATTCGATCTCTTGGTTTCTCTTAATTTTTGGGGGGTTAGGGTTGCAGTACCTTGAATTTTTTTTTATTGTTTTTATGTTTGAAGTGAGGAAGCGGCGAAGGAGGCCGTGGTTTATCATTACACGCATGCGGCAAGTGGATTCTCTGCGAGACTTACTCCCAAGCAAGTTGAAGATCTCTCAAGTAAGTTTTCTGTTGCTTTAATATGTTAATTAAGGAATTAAATGGTGTGTTTGATTTCTTTAGGTATTTGTTTGTAGAGTGTTGGCTTTGTTTATTCTGTATTTGGTTTTTTTATTCTTTAAATCGGAAGGGGATATCTCTTCTTGAAGCTATTGTTACCGCTGAAATTCATTCTCTTCACTGTTTATGAAGGGATCGTTGGATTACAAATTAGAAATATTGTATCAAAGGATGAGTGAGTTCTAACGCTTAATATATTATCAAAGTAGCCTACAATAGTGCAAATCTTATGTACTATGCGTTATCCTACACTACATGTGTATGTTGGAGCATTTTCAATAATGGGTTGTTTCAATATTAGTCCTTCAAATCTTCAATATTTTCAAGTTAGTCCCCGAATCATGGAAATTTCTATTAGGTCCCTCAAATCATGACATTGCTTACACTTAGGACCCCCTAGTTAACAACAATTAGATCTAAAAGATTATTCCTTAAAATCTGACTTTGAGTGATGACTTCCCCATTATACCCTTGAATTTGTTAGGAATGTCTATTCATTTTAGGTTTTTAATGCATTTTAGTTGTAATTTGAGAAAATATCAATGGCAATATAGCATTATCAATGCAATTTGAATGAAATGACATCAGAAGAAATTTTTGTCCTGTCATCTATTGTGATAAAGGAGGGCAAGGGGAGGGAGGATTAGGGGTTTTGGAGGGGGAAGTTTAACCTAAGTGCATTGTTGTAATTGACCATGGGGATCAAGGCTTAACCCAAATTATCTAAATAACTGCTTACTTCGTTAGGGGGACTTCATTGTAAGCAATGTGATGATTTGGGGGACCTAATAGGAATGTCCATGATTTGGGGGACTAATTTGGAAATAGTGTAGATTTGAGGGACTAATACTGTTCAATAATATGTAACAACTTACTAATCATAATATCAAGTCATACTATTAGAATGAAGGATGAGAATAGTCTCATATAAGTTCTTGAATATCTTGAAACAAGACTGTTGGAGAAATAGTTAAGTACATATACTCATAAACATTCTCCCTCATTTACATTTCATTTTCATCTAGTCAAGAGAACACTGCACTTGTGTTCTCAACTTAATTACAAGAATTTTTCACCAAGCATAGACACATATCCATAAGCATCTTAAATCATTTACATATTATGTCATCCATTCAAGACGGTGCCTATACATAATGTTTCTCAATATGTTTAATAGAATTTCTTTATGTGAAGTCTCAATCTTCGTTCACATCCATTTAGCCATAAAAATGTTAGAAAATATAGCAGATCTTAATTGATTTTAAGGTGTATTATAATCTTTCAAACCCTAAGTTGGAGGGTGATTATCACTCATCTGAAAGTGATTCTTCTTAGGCCATAGGCTCCCCTTCTTTAAGGTACACTACGCTCCATAAACTGTTCCTAAAGAACAACGAAACTTGTCAAAGACTGCCAGTAGTCTTCCGGCGCAGGATAGTCATAAAATCATTTACTACTCCAGGCTAGAACATTATGCATATGTCCCTTTCCTATGTTCTGTTTTGACTAATTTGGATATTATGCTCCTAGGAATGCAGTAGGTCGCATTCTAACAGGCCCAGTTCATGAATCACTATGACTATATTTTTTCATAAGTCACTTGGGGACCAACCCAAATACCAATTTGTGAATTCAAACCCGATATTATATTAAATTGTTATTTGATTTTCTATTAATTCGGAGGGGAACGTGGAGGGGGCATTGAGCTGTGACCAGACACTGCTTAGCGGTTGGGCCTGCCCGAGCTTTAGCTAAATATGTTTTAAATAAAATATGGATGCTATGTAAAACATAATATATCGAAAGACTATAATTTAGTTACACATACAGTGACTACACAATAGTTCCTGCAAAAAGTTCCCATGTTTGAAAAACACCTGGAATTTGTTAACTGTTAATTCTTTTCGGGCACTTGTAAATTTGCAAATTGCTAAGTTATTCGAAATTATGCTAGACGGAGTTTTTCTTATGAAATGAGAATTATTCTGCAAGGATAAGCATGATGCTCTTCACTAGTATCAGGTCAGAGGAGTATGCATATCTCCCTTCTGTAAGTTTCCATAACTTGAATTTGGCAAATTTGGGGATGCACATGGGAATGACAGTACGCCAGATTCTATAAGGTTCAGTACATCATTCACTATAGTTTTTTATACAGTTCTCTTGGGAACCAGCCCAATCATAGATCAAAACCTGATAAAGATCGGTATTCAAGACCTGGATGTGTGTTTATTATTTCCAATAGTTGTAAAGTTGAGAACCATTAGTTCGTATAAAACTTAGTAGATGGATTTTTCCTTTTTCTTTTTGAAAAAAGTATTTTGCAATTCCTTTTACTAAAACTAGATTCTTTGATATATGATCAATAATATATATGTTTTTAGGTATGCATATTGTATGTATGTACGTACATGGATGAAATATAGGTATATAGTCGTAACTAGATTTTGGATAATTTCCATGTCCAACACCTTGCGTCCATGTCAGTACATGGATGAAATATACATATATAGTTGTGACTGGATTTTAGATAATTGCCATGTCCCAGCACCTTGACGATGTCAAAGCAGGACAGTGCAATTGTTTTTCAGTGAAGCTAAATATCTTTAAACAACAAATGTAATTTTTACTAATATAGTGACATAACAGATCAAGATGTCCAGTCATTTATAACGGTCACTACATTGCTGCAGTTTTTATAAAGATGTACTACGTTGATTAAGGTGTAACACCTCATTAAGTCGCTGTGCAGGGTGGTGATTAGGTGCTATGCTTGGTATTCTAATATTACCTCATTGGCTACAGCTTAAGCCTCTTACATTATCTAATATTGGTATCAGTGCTACAATGATATTATTATTTATTTGATTGGTAAATTTTGCTTCATGAGCCTTGAAATTTGTCTACTTAACTGGTTACTTCGCCTCGTGTGCATAATGTTTTACACTTTCTTCAAATGTATTATCTGTTGATGCTCTTATCATTGTATGTTGTTCTCAATACATGTCATTCTGAAAAAGAATTGGCATGTGATGGTGAAGAAGACTTTCTTATAGTGGATGAGAGATAAGGAAGAGACTTGAGATTGAGTTCTTCATTGACAAATGAAGATGTAAATTTAATTTGAACAGAAAGGAGAAGTGACACATGCACCAGCATACGTCTAACCAAACCAGTCTGTAATTGACCCATGTTATTTACGCTAAGATGAGATTTGGAGTGACCGACCTGTGATGATACACCTACCAACAGATTGCTAATTAAATCCACATGTTACTGACGACACTCCTTAAAATTGGTTTTTTGTTCTTCTTTTTCTATACCTTATATGTTAGGCGTTTCATCGAATGAACTTCCATTTCTTATGTCTGTTCGGAAAAGTATCTGGTTTATATAAGTTGCATCATAAATAGAGACCAGCTCCAATCTTTCTTAACCTCTGGATAAGTAATTAAGTAATTGATATTCTTCAATGTTGCTACTGTTAGTTATATTTAATTGTCAATGTCCTGTATAATGTGTTTAGGGGTGGAAATGAACCAAATAATTAATAAATGGTTCGATAATTGTTCGAATAACTATTCGGTCATATTCTATTCGATAGTTCATTTATCACTAAACAAATATTTTTTAGTATTCGAGTTTATTAACGAATAGAATTTAACCAGATGTATATTCGATTCGTTTGTCTATTAAATATTCGTTTAAAATTTGATCACGGCTTATTATTTGTATTATTGCACATATGATGTCATATTTTTAACCCACTTATCATTTCTACTTAAGTTTTTTATATAGATTTTAAGACTTAAATAATCTTAAATCTGTTTTCTAATTAAAATTTTGATTTAAATATATATACATCATATATTATAAAGAAATAATTTTTATTTATGAATTTTAATACTATTTGAAAATCAAACTCTTTAGCAAAATAAATATACTTTGATATTCGATAAGTATTCGTGAATATTCATGAATATTTATCAAATACCAAGTATTCGAGTTCGAATTCGAAAAACTAGATATATGAATATTAGAGTCCGCATTCGAATTCGATAATTTTAAACAAATACAAATATGAACACCTTAGTATTCGATTCGATTCGATCATTTACCACGCCTAAATGTGTTCCCTTCATAAGATCAGCTCTCATCTTTCTCGACTTCTGGATAATTACTCACATGTCCCTAATTCTTCATATTTGCTATTGTTAACTATATTCAATTGTATGAGATATGTTCCTTTCATGAGTTCAGCTCTGATCTTCTGGATAAGTACTTGGTCTCTAATTCTTCAATATCTGTTATCATTAATTATATGTAATTGGCATTATCCTGTTTAGATATGTTCTTTTCATAAATTTGTAATGTGGCTTTGGATATTCTGCCGTGAACCTGTTAGCTAAGAAAAATGAACTATCGCTGACAAAGAACTGGTGCCGTCATTGCTTTTGTGCTTGATCGTAGTTTCTTATTTGGCCCATTGATCATTGACAAAATTCCATTCAGTAGATTTTTGACTGAACAAAGATGTACTATATGCTAAAGTTTTTTTCTCGTCTCCTATATTACAGAGCAACCAGGTGTCCTTCAGGTGCTGCCAGATAAGGTTCTCCACCTTCACGGAGGGCAAAAAGCGGCAAAGATTACAACCATGGGTCTTATGTGAAACTATCCGGTGTATTTTCAGCGTGCAAACTTTTTATATGGTATCTGGAAAAAAAATAAGGATGTGTGAAATCCATAGTGTCGTGTGGGGATAGTGACGGTAACTGATGAATAGGATGGTATTTGACCTTCTTGCTGGTAAATGTAATATGTACGGTCCGGATGTGTATTACTTTGATAGTATGTGATTAATATGCGCTTGCTCCATTGCTCCATTGTCCACTGCTTTAAAGAACATCTCCGTGTGTTTGATAGAACCGCTGTTCTATTTTGTACAGCTTCGTTCATCAATACTGTTGGAAAGTATTTGATTTGGTGCCCTCTTGCCCTTTGGCAGCTTGACCAACTCCTATGCGTGCTCCTCATGCGAGGACTCTTGTCTCCTCTTGCACGCCAGAATTGCGTCACCAGCGCGTCAGTCAATAAGCAAATCTAACTACATATATAAACATTATTTTCAAAAAAATCTAAATTCTCATCTTTGATAAGCCCCGAGCCTCCCTGACGAAATTTCATGTCGATGGCAAGAGATGTGAACAAGGCGGGTTAGAACAACAACCAATCACGGAACAAAATATCCGCTTCAAAAGGTTTTTGCTTGCAGAAACAAGATCCATTTTTATGGTCAACAATTTGATCGCCGGAAAAAAAAAAGAAGCTAAATGAATATAATGATTACCGATCGATAAATCCTCTAAATTCATTTTTATGGTCGACAAATTGCCAAAATTGACCGGAAAATTGCCATCTACATAAGAAACAAACTACTCTACAATGTACTCTTTGAACTTGTATTCTTCTTTCTGAAAAGCAAACGGCACCCTGCACTCGCTATAGCAACTAGCACACAGACAGAAATGTGAACTGATCTCTTTCAACATCAATCCACCAACTCTATACTTACAAACTCCACAAGAATATTTGCCCCTTCGAGCTCTATCACCGGCCTCCAACTTAACCAGGGAGCTCATCACCCCAAAACCTTGATCTGGGTCATCGAACCAATCGATGAACTCACGAAATGGAATATTCACATCTTCTCCGCCTCCGTTGATTCCAATCAACTCAGTAAAACCTAGAGATGGAAGATAGACGACCCTTAGATATCTCAAATAAACATGAACTTTAACGCCGTCGTTTGATGCTCGGCATAAAAGAGCATCAAAGGCTGCACGCTTGCGTTTCTCCGGTGAACCATAGCATATAGGTGATATAATAGCAAAGAACATCTTATAGTCGATATTTCCAGAACCCGTAACGTCCAATACCGCCCAAAATTTCTCGTCGATTGCTCTCACCGCACACTGGAACGTCTCGGGCGGTAGAAAATGCAAGAGCCTGCGAAGAACAAACTCGAGTTCGGATTTCCTTATCGATCTTTCACTTGTCCTCACTTCGATTCCTTCCTTCTCCTTCTTTATAACCTCGACATTGCATCCCCCTAGCTTCGTCGCCTTCTGAATCTCTCGAATCCGAAGTGCATCGATCAACAATTTTCTCTCGCCGGTCTTCTCATCGACCAATTTGAACTTAGAGGCATCCTCGACTATCCAATTTACGCTACCACCCTCTTCGCGTCTCCTCTTCAACATCTTCAAGTGTCTCAGAGCATCATACACTTCTATCCGATTCGTCATCTTAAAAGCTTCGCTCAGTGATTTCATCGCTTCTTGATCCTTGCCCGAGCCCAGTAAACAAACGACCCGATTCAGCTGGGCCCGCCAGTGATCCGGTCGAATCTCTAAGACTCTGGTGTACATCTCACTCGCTCTCCGGTACCTGCCGACATCCTTAAAACAACCCGCCGAGATTGTAAAGCGCGTCCAAATGATCGGGTTTGAGATCGATCGCCCTCTGAAAAGACAGCATCGCCCTCTCGTAGTCTCCGATCGAATGAAGAACCAACCCGAGGTCACAATGTGCATCGGCGAAGTCGGCGATAATGCTCGCTGGCGTTGATCAACAGCCCTTCGTTTTCCATCGCGATCCCCAAATTTACGTGAACTTGAGGTAAGAGATTCGCCCACCCGATCGAATCGCTCTCCGCTAGCGTCAGAGCGGTGGAGTAGCGATCTTTCGCTTCCGACGATCGTTTGAGCGACATTAGGCTGTTACCCAGTTGATAATGGGCTCGAGCATCTGTCGGTTTGAGCTCGATCGCCCTCCGAAAGCTCCCGATCGCTTCGTCGAGCAGTTTCCGATCGTGGAGCGTCCTCCCGATCGCCATGTGGCCGGCAAAAGCTTCGCTTGTCGTCGACAACTGGTCAATTCTGAGGCGGATTTCTCTCAATTTCTTCGAGAATGCTCTGATTCCGCTCGAATTCTCGTCGCTTGCTCTGTCGATCTCCGAACTGAGGTCAGTCGACCATCCCCCGAAGGGGATCGGATCTTTTGCGACGACATTCAACCTCGAAGCCCTAATTCGAGCTTTAATCGCAATCTCGAGCTCCTCAACCACTGTCCAGGTACTCTCGTAGTCAACCTCCTCGTGATTAGGGTTAGGGTTTTGGACGGCGTCGGGATTAGGGTCAGCGTCAGGGAAAAGGGCGGCGAAATCACGGTCAACGTCGCCGGCGCCGTCGTTGTAGGTCTGGATCAAGCCGGCGAGAGAGAGGCCGACGCTAGGGTTTGGAATGAAGTCGGAGTAAGATCGGAAAACCTCGTCGACGACGGAGGAGATCTGATACGGCGGGCTGAAGCGACGGCGGGGTAACGGCGGCGACTAGGTCGCCATTTCTTGACGCGAGGTATCGCCGTCGCCGTTAGCGTCGAAGCGGTCGAAGATTAGGCTTGATCTTTATCGCGCCGTGCCGGCGGGCGTCGAGGCCGTTGGAGATGACGCGCGGAGACATGGTAAAGGGCTTGGATTAATGGGAGGGATTAGTGAGTAATTAAAGATGGGATTGGATGAGCTGGGTATTATTCATAGGGAGTAGGTTTTAATGATAAAATGTCGTTTTTATCCATTTGTTCATGCTACAGGTTGGAGTTTTTTTATTTTTAATTTTATTTTTATTTTAGTTGTTAGTTTTAATGGTTTTTCTTGAGTAAGTCAATAGGTGTTAAATTCTCGATCTTTCTTATTATTAATCATTCTAGTTATGCTCGCCTATCATTAATCATAGTACCTGATGAATCATAAAATTGGATGATTCATTTCGTTCCTACTGATCTACACATAGCTATTTAAATGGAAAATGTGGAATTTTATGATGTTTTACTCATGCCATGCGTTTACTTACATGGAGTTAAAATGAACGTTATTATTATTATTATTATTATTATTATTATTATTATTATTTTAATCTAGAAGTTGCACAAAGTACAATTTGTCACGTCCCGAATCTGCAGCGGAAATTCATAAAATACGGGGTACGCGATAGCAGCGACCCGTGCACGAGACAAGTCTTATGCACGAGTCAAGCCTGGCAATTCATATCACATAGTTTATTTTCTAAATATTCATAAACCTGCTGATGATAGAAATCAGAGCAACTATATATATGATCGGTACTTACAGCCCACAAGCTCACCGTTATAAACATTTTTACAAAACAAAACAAATTGTGCTGAAGATAACATCAAAAAGAAGAAGCTCTCCATATCACGCCTCTCAGCCAAAAGCTCAAACCAAAAGTCGGCTAATAGGAAGCTACGCCGGATCTGAAAAAAATATTTAAAAACAACGGGGTGAGCTAGCGCTCAGTGAGAACATTTCCCACTAGAGTTCCTAGATAACTAACAAAATAGTAATAAGAATAGTTCTCAGAAATTAACAAATTTCAAGTTTTGCATGAGAAATTCACAGATAGCAGAATACGATCCAAATATCGTAATATTGTCATTTTTAAGAAAGAATACAACAATTATATTTCCTTTCTCATGTGCAACTGAATAAACTGTGAAATTTCTTGGAATCAAACCCTTTTTGAATTAAGGTAAACAATTAAGAAGGAAAAGAACTACTAAATTTTACAAAATCAGAGAATTGTTGTTTTCTTAATTTCACAGTCAATTATCAGAATCTTATTTCTCGATGAGTATTTCATGAATGTAAAAGTCACCCCATAGGTCACACTAAGGCTACGAATTTTAGCCCAGTAGCAAGGGAATGCGTAAACCGCATCAGATAACAGATAATTCCCGGGAACCGAATGCACCAATCATTGCCATAGGCAATCGGCCAAATACAGAGGGGCCAGAATAGATCTCAGAAGGGCCAATACAGAAGGGCCAAATAAAGGTGCATTCACCATATGGCAGGCAGAACCAATCCATAGTGGACTATTTGAGGGTTTGAAAACATCGAGATCACATGTCAAATGAGAAGTACTTTGCATATCAAAATTTACAGATATTTCAAATAAAATTGACAAGGTAAAACTTCTCATTTCTGTTAAAACAGTTTACGGATATTTACTTTTCCTTTATCAGATACTAAACCACGGAAAATCTTTGAATCCTTTAAACTGTTGAAATATGTTCCAATATTTCATCAAAAACTTTCAGATATAACAAAGTCCACAATTATTTGAAAATTGCACGAGCCAAAGTTATTCTTCATATTTTACATAAAGATCAAATTAGCTTTTCATATATTGTACGAGGCTAACATCGTATTATAGGATAGACCACAACAGAAATAGGTCAAATCTTTATATACATGAAAAGACATATTATTTATTTATTTATTTTTATCACAAGATAAATCAAATATAAAACTCATGCCATTTCATATTATAAAATACTAGTGAGAAATGAACTCACCTCTAGTGGTCACGACTTTCTCAAACTATTATTCTCCCGAATATCAACCAGAACCTATAATATAAGATATATGACTAATTATTAATTCAGAACAAACATATATTATAGGTAAATCAATTCATAATCTAGAGTCTAATAAACTCAAATATAATCAATAATGATTAAATTCTACAGTACATATGAGCTTATTATTAATTTTAGCAATTTATCAAAATTTTATAACTCTCATATACTAGCTTTTGGACTTTCTAGTAACTTATAATAATGCAGGGGGTTATAGGAAATTTATCAAGCCTAAAAATTAACTTTTATTCTTCAGATTGGACTTGTTTACAAGTAGAGTAAATGACAAGGGCCTAACAGAGATTTCCAATTCTTTTTCAAACATAACTCACATTATTAAGGTCTGTTTCAAATTTTTTCATGGTTCAGGGGGCTTAAAGCAAATTTCCTCCCTTTATAAAAAAAAAACCCTGATCATCTTCCTCCCCCTTCTTCTTCGTTTCTTTCTCTTCTTCTTCTTTTTTTATCGTTTTTTTTCTGGTTTCCTTCTCCTCTCCTCTCTCTCTCTCTCTCTCTCTCTCTCTCTCTCTCTCTTCCTCTCTCTCTCTCTCTCTCTCTCTCTCTCTCTTTCTTTCTTTTCCATGTCTCGCCAAAACACCACGACCGCGGCAAGGGATCGCCGGCGACTAGGGATGGCCGGTGGTCAAACCTCACCGAACTAGGGTTAGTTATTTTCCTTTCTTTCTTTCTTTTTTTCAGTTTGTTTCATGCATCATAAACACATAAGAAAAGTCCTTTTGCAAACCCTAGATTCTTTATTTCACATTCATAACAATTTAACTCCTTCACTCATTCTAATTTGATTCGATTTACTAAGATTTCTATAAAATTTGAAAGGAGATTATACCTCAATTGATTGGAATGTTGATTTGTTGCCTTGATCTCCTTTTCTCCCTTCACAACTTTTCTAATGATTCAAGAAGTTTTGTTAAAGAGGAGAGGTGTTGACTGTGTTTGTTTGTTTGTTTGTTTTTTCTGTGATTTTCTTTGATTTTCTCTGTTTTTCTCTGTTTTTATTCTCCCGTTAAAGAGGTGCCGGCCAAACTAGCAAATGTTATTTAGCCACACAAACATTAACGTGGCAATTAATCAAGGGTTAGGGTGAAATCCCGAAAATACCCTTAATTAATTCCCTAATCTGTAATTAAAAAAAATCTCCATTAATCAAGTTCTTAAGGCACTAAATATCTGGGTTACTACACTCTTCCCTCCTAATAAAAAGTTTCGTCCTCGAAACTTAACATACCTATATCTCGAAGAGCTCTGAATATCTCTCTCGCATAGAATCTTCAGTTTCCCAAGTAGCTTCTCTTTCAGAGTGATTCTTCCACTGAACTTTCACATATTTGATTATTCGGTGTCGGAGTACTTGTTCTTGAAAATCCACAATACGTTCTGGTTTTTCCTCATAGGTCAAATCTGGCTTAAGCTCCACTGGAGATAACTCAACGATCTCATTTGGATCTCGGATGAACTTTCGAAGCATGGATATATGAAATACATCATGTACTCCAGATAGGGCTGGTGGTAATGCTAATCTGTATGCCACTGGACCAATACGCTCTAGAATTTCAAAAGGACCAATGAATCTCGGGCTTAACTTTCCTTGGATTCCAAATCTTTTCACTCCTCGGGTAGGCGAAACCTTTAAGAAAACATGATCGCCTACTTGAAATTCTAATTCCCTTCTTCTTTGATCAGCATAACTCTTCTGACGACTTTGTGCCGTGCGAAGACGTTCTCGAACTAATTGAATTTTATCAATTGCTTGTTGTACCAATTCTGGTCTAAGAAGTTTTCTTTCTCC